GGGTTTGAACCACCAGCCTTTTGGTTAGCAGTCAAAATGCCCTGGGCACTATGCTACCAGAGCTCCCTATTTAAACCTAGAATATGAAAATGCTTTATATGTACATAAAGTGCCTGTGATATGCTTAAATAGTCTAAAATTTATTAATTTTAATTTTCAAGATGGTTTTTATTTTCTTTTTTAGAGATCTAAAATGAGTCATAGTGTTTCTTGAATTTCAATGACTTTTAAATTTGGGAATGTTCAAATGTATGTTAATAATCTTCCTGTTCACCCAACTCAACAACTGGCTCGTCATTCATGTGCAGAATAAGGTAAGAAAGAAGCTGAAAGAGATTCTGCCAGAGTAAGAGAGAGACATAAAAGGAGAGGCCACTTACATCTACCTCACAGCGCTCGCCAACATAGGCGACATCACAGAGGCACTGGAATTTGTTGAGCAAGTCCTGGCACCGGCCTCCATGGAAGCACGGATCAGAGGCACACTCATCAATGTCCTTTTCACACCTTGAAAATAAACAGAAACAGCAGAAACCCAGCACCCTATTGAATAACTTGGCTGTGAAATGGGGGAAAAAAAAGTCTCTATCTTCCCAGAAGAATGCAATCTTATCTATCAAATACCACACAATTTATATATAGCTAATAGTGTGAAAGGTGTTCCTTAAAATCATTTTTAATAAATTTTGGCTTTAACGAAATGATGTGTACACACACACACACACACACACAGTTAATTAGAATGAGAAAACAGGTGCAAATATTTAGAAACTAAGAGAAAACTGGGTCATGTGTGAACTAGTTTCTTCCTTAAGAGCATTAGTGGTCTTGCCACCTTATAAATGTCTGGTTTATTAGAGCCACTCGGAAACCATGAGAGCTGGGAAAGAGGAGGTATTGCAAGCTAGAGTCAGCAGAATAGGCCTGGTGCAATCAGGCTAATAATGCATCAGTGCCCTCAGGCTAAAGGAAAAAGCCCACCAAGGACAAACAAAAAGTATTTGCTTTATCTTGGGAGATTTTGAATTATATTACTTTGGAATTTCATTTTTTCACAAAAAACAAAAGTAGATGATTAGAAGATTTAACTTGCTTAAATTATGTTCTAATACCTAAGCATAATATTTGAATGTTCAGGAAGAATGACTTTCAAAAGCCAAAATTTCCAAAACAACCATCAATTCTAAAGTAAATTGATGTTCTCTGGGATGCTGTAATTTTTTTCACCTGTTTTTCTACCACTAACTTGTTTTTCTGTATATTTGTTGATTCAGTCATTCAAAAGATATTTAATTAACACCTTCCAAGAAGCACCCCTTGCCTCCCCCCCAGCAGTACAGGCAATTTGTACTCAACTGGTGACATAGTAGCTAAGGCATTTGACTGCTAACCAGAAGGCTGGTGGTTCAAACCCACCAGCCACTCCCTGGAAGGAAGGTTGGGCAATCTACTTCCACAGTGATACTGTCGAGGAAATCCAAGGAAGGGTCGCTATGAGTCGGATCCCACTTGACGGTGTTGCATTGCGTTTTGCATCAGTATCTAAAGGTTAGTGGTTTGAACTCACCAGTGGCAAGAAGGAAGAAAGCCCTGGTGATCTGCTTCTGTAAAGCTAGTTGTATGCCATCGAGTCAATTTCTACTAATAGCCACACTATAGGGCAAGACTAAAATTGCCTCATAGGGCTTCCAAGGTTGTAAAATCTTTACAGTAGCTGACTGCCATATCTTTCTCCCATGGGGCAGCTGATGAATTCAAACTGCTGACCTTTCCATTAACAGCTGAGTGCTTAATCACTGTACCACCAAGGTTCTTTGTGTAAAGATTATAACCAAGAAAACCCTATCAAGATGTTCTGGTGTTTAACACATGGAGTCACCAAGAATTGGAATGAACTCGATGGCAATGGGGTTAGTTAGTTTTCCATCTGCCAAACAAGCTGTTAGGTCTTAGGGTAGAGCAGTAACTAAGGCATCTATTTTCATTTGAGAAATTTATACATATATTAAAAAAGCTTAGCACCAAGAATCTCTACATAGCAGCTTATAATGTTGAAGTTTGGTGTAAATAATGTTTTGACTTCCCCCTACCTCCCAAAAAGTAAAACTTGCATCCATGGGCCATAGGCTAATGACAAGGTTTGAAATGAGGTGGTGGGCAGGGCCAGGCCAAGGTATAAAGGGAAGAAAGATTTCTTCCAAGAAAAACAACCCTTATCCTGCTGGATACCAAGCATAGTTGAGAAGTTTTGTTTCCCTTTTTTGGCTTAGGCTTCTGGGCTGGAAGGAGACTCCTCAGATTAGATCTGAGCAAACTTGACAACTCTCAGGAGCCTGCCAAGTACTCTGTCCTGGGTGGGCCAGAATGTTCACACCATTCATCACTCACAACCTGCCAGTATGACACTAGGAAAGTTGGAGATGGAACCAGGCAGGAGAGAAGGCAATTTATTAGAGGACAGTTTTTCAACATCTTTGGGCATTATGGAAGTCACATTCCCCAAGGCCTTGGTAAATTGCCAATATTTCCTAGTCTTCCTCTTGCTACTCTCTTTTGAACTCAACAGTGCACTACACCTCCACATTCACTATAAGCACCACTAGAGCTTCCATTTGAGTTTAATTAGTAAATGGAAAGTCAAAGTAAATAAATCCGTTACCATCCAGTGAATTAACTAATGATGGTTAAGGACTTTAAAAATGCATATTCTGTTCAACATGAGTTCACTCTTTTAGAAATCTGTTTGCATCAGAGGAGTTTACCCAGATGAAAAGCCTCCTTGAAGAGGAAGAAAAACTTTTTTCAAACAATTTGAATTTAGATGCCATTTTTTTAAAAATGGATTACTGTTGGAGAAAAAGGGAAAGATTTGTTGTCAATAGGGATTATGTGTGAATAGCAGAGAAAAATAACCCAAGACTCTGGAGTTCTGTGCATTGTGCCATTGAACAGAAAATCAGACATTAAGCACAGAGGCAGCTAGCATTTAAAGATAGCTAAACACTTGTTCACTGGTAGCATAGTGCCTGAGGCACTTGACTGCTAACCAGAAGACTGGCAGTTCAAACCCACCAGCCACTCCTCGGAAGGAAGGTTGGGCAATCTACTTCCTTAGTGATACTACCTCGGAAATCCGAGGAGGGGTCGCTATCCGAGGAGGGGTCGCTAAGAGTTGGGGCTGACTCGATGGCACATAACAACAACAAACACTTGTTCAAAATTTGTTGTTGTTAGGTGTTGTTGAGTCAGTTCTGACTCACAGCAACCCCATGTAACAGAGTAGAACTGCTCCATAGGGATTTCCAGGCTGAAATCATTAGAAAGTAGATCTCTATGTCTTTATTCCACAGAGCTGCTTGGTGGGTTCAAACTGACAACCTTTCAGTTAGTAGCCAAGTGCCTAACAATTGCACCACTAGGACTACTTGCTCAAAATTTAGGACAAGAAAATATCTGTAATATTTTGGAGGTATATGGAATTGGAGCAGATGATAGATTGAATCATCTCTGGTTAATATGTTGGTGCAATGGAAAGTAGGAGTGTGATATAATGCCCATATGTGCTTGGGCTGCCTACACCATCTCAGATTGCTGATCTCAGAAGGTAGCCCATGAAAATAAGGACTAGATTTGTCATTGAATGTTACCACTTCTATCAACGTGATTCTGACTTACGGTGACACAATATGTTTAAGAGAAGAACTGTGCTCCATAGAGTTTCTTAAGGCCTTTTAGAAGAAAATGGCTAGGCTTTTCTTCTAAGGCACCTGTGGATAGGTTCCAACCATCAACATTCCAGTTGGTAGTCAAGCACTTAACCATTTGCACTACCCAAGAACACTGAGTGAATGAAAGGTAAAGTACACGTGTGTCCTAGATTGCCTGTTGCTTGCTAAAAATTGTAAAAGATCTGTATCTTTGTGATGCCAGAACAACCAGCTGAAGAATAGAAAATTGAAAATAATCCAACCTGTGGTTGTCATGGAAGGCAAATATATCCATCGTTCTATTAATTGCCCTTCTTGGAAAATTGAACTCCATCAATCTCTGTCAGATGTGTCTGATTTTAATTTATTTAATTTGTTCAGTATAGGAACTGGATCAGAGATTAGTGCATCTCACCCTAGGTATGCATGAGATGGAAGAGCAAAGGTACATTCATACAGTTACACTAGACATTCAGACAGATGAGCAGAGGCTCTGAAAGCAGCTAATATTGCAGCAGATGTCTGGGCACCTAATCTGTCACTTAATCTCTCAGCTTCAGTATACACATCTGTAAAATGGAAATAATAAAATTTCTTTTGCAGAACTCTAAGAATTAGAGGTAATATTTATATAAGGTGCATAGCTTAGTGCTCAGCAAATGGTTAACTTTTTATTATCTGTTATATACACTAAGATGAGCTCTGGCGGGACTGTGGTTAAAGCATTGGTCTGCTAACCAAGAGGTCAGCAGTTTGAATCCACCAGTGACTCTGTGTGAGAAAGATGAGGCAGTGTGTTTCTGTAAAGATTTACAGGGTTGGAAACTCTGTGGGGCAGTTCTACTCTGTCCTATAGGATCGCCATGAGTCAGAATTGACTCGATGGCAGTGAGTTTGCTTTGGTTTTGGTTTTAAATAACTTTTGAGCTTCCTTCTTTGTAACCATTTTTGAGACATAGAATCCTTTGAGAATCAATAAACTATGGAGTATCCACATTTTCTACCTGTCACTCCACCCTCAGCCAGTCAAATTTGCCTGCACTTTCAGGAGGTCATAGATTGTCTGAAAGCATCCGCGGACTTCATGCTAACAACCCCTGTGCTACATGAAGAAGACTTGAAGGGTTTCTCTAGAAAATGTAGAATCCTATGGAAGGGATGTATATATTTTTAAGGTTCTGGGTAACCCTAGGAAGCAATTCTTTAGGCATATTTTTATTTTCCTTTGACAGCATCCATGTATGTATCATGTATTACAGTTAGGAAAGAACCGTGAATCCAGAAGTTCTTAAAAGAAAGAAAAATGCTACATTATATGTTTTCCCAAAAACGTATTTACCTATCTGAAGTCTTGGCTAATGAAATGTCCTTGACTTTGACCTGTACTGTAGGTAGGTTTTTTTGTTTTTTTTTTTAATTGTTTGACTCTGTCTGAATCTACATTTCAGCACAGGTTTTCCTATGGGTGCTGAGATGAAAAATTAGAGGAGAAAATGAACCTGAGTAATCATACTGCTCTTTAGCCCAGACTTCTCTTCCGTATAGTTCTAATGTGACTCACCGTTCTCCGGTAAAACCTGGCCGACACATACATTTTAATTCACCCTGGAAATCTGTGCAGTTGCCTCCATTGTAGCAAGTCAGATTTGTCTTCTCATTCCCACAGTCTGTTGAGGGTAATCTGGTGTGTCAGGAGAGATAAAAGTAACAGCCACAGCTGGTCATCTTGTTTATTTCATTCAAGAAAACTTTTTTTGAAAAGTTCATATATGTCAACAATGCCAAACTAATTAAGGACTCAATCTGGCAGAGCTACAACTGCTTAATTGGGTTTCTTGACACAAGAATCACTTTCTCCAGTAAAAAAAGTCCCTGCTGCAGGGTGTTGTAAGAAGCATAGCTATTCATCTTCCGTTTCTACACAGTTTTCATTCGTGAGATAAGATCTATGCCATGGGATGGCAATAAATTTAGTAGCTTGCTATAGCTAGATTTGCTGCTGCTTTGCTAATAAATCAACAAAGGCCATAGGAAAATTGCATCTCTATAAAGGCCAGGAAAGCAAGGACAGCACTCTCGTACCCAAGCACTCATGTGCTTTCTCTGTTGGCTTTCAGAGCTGAACTCCAGTTGCCCTGCCAAGACTTGCTGCTCCCTATCTAATAATTCATAACTTACCAGAATGCAAGCCAAATGTTGTCCAGGAGGTTTGTATATAGCACTCAATGGTAACTGCATGTGAATTCAGTGTGTGGTTCTCTTGTATAACAACAAAACTGTATATGCTAAGGAATCCTTGTAAAGGCAGAACAAATTGTTAGAAGTTAACCAGACAATGAAAGGACAGATGTTTACAAAGATATAGAGGGTGTTGCTCAGTTCCTTTGGCCCACTGTGTACGTACATGGCATCTGACACATAATAGTGAAAATATGAGATGAATTGGATTTTTCCTGTTGTTTGGGCTGCATGGGGAGACTAGCCTATGTGATAGTGTGTGTTTTCCCACAAAACCTCAAACAACGGCCATTGAGTTGATTCCAGTTCATGGCAACCTTAAAGGTAGAGTAGAAGAACCACACCGCAGGGCTTCCAAGATTGTGAATCTGTATGGAAACAGACTACCTCATCTTTCTCCAGTGGAGCTACTGATGGGTTGGGTTCAAACTGCTGACCTTTTGGTTAGCAGCTGAATGATCTATCTAACCACTATGCAACCAGAGCTCCTTTTAAAAAAGAAAATATCATAAGAACTTCTCAAATATCAACCAGCTTTGAAAGAGGCCAATTAGCAATGCAAATGTGAAGTTTTATATGCAATCTTAGGTTTTGTAAACAATTCTTCAAATTCATTAGAAGGTACTTTTGAGAACTTTGGTCTTTGAGAACTTGACTTTGATGAATTAGGCTGAAAAAATACTTGCAGAACCAGTTCCTTCTAGGGCATATATGTTTATCTTACTTATTCAAAATCAAAATAGTTGTAAAACTATTGGTTTTAATCCTGAGTTTCTCTTGATTTAATCAGGCAGTTTATATGTTGGCAAATGAGTTGGTTAACATAAGGGAAATAACCTTTTACTGGAATGCCAATGCTTAGTACCTAACACTATTCCTTACCTTGGTAGCCTCTGAATAACAACAAGTGTTATGGAGATATTTGAGGTTTCTTACAGGTGTAACTATGTGTTATGTTTGCTAGGAGATTCACTCACTTAAGGAACTACCTCTGAATTAGGATAAAGTCTATAGACTACCAACCCACTCCAGGTGTTCTCGTCAAAGCCCTGGAATATATTATTTCTTATTAATAACTTGTTTGGGAGCTCTGGTAGCATAGTGCCTAAGGCACTTGACTGCTAACCAGAAGGCTGGCGGTTCAAATCCACCAGCCACTCCTTGGAAGGAAGATGGGACAATCTATTTCTGTAGTGATACTGCCTCGGAAACCCAAGGAGGGGTCACTCTGAGTCAGGTCCGACTCGATGGTACATAACAACAACAACAACAACAACTTGTTCATCTCCCTATAATAATTTCATTGCTTTGTAAATTTTAAGCCGTATAAAAATGATAAAAACAATAATTAATCTGACTTACATAGGAGCAAATATGACTTAGAAGGAAATATTCATTCTTGTCTCTTTACACAATGGAGGTGTTACTGGAACTAAAATACTGCTGTTTAGTTGTAGGAAAAATTATAGAAGACTTTGAAAATGAGTAAGAGTGATCACTGGGTATTCTTTCAATGGAATGTGGGGTACTACCTTGCAGATCCTCTGAGTTATTGGATTTTTGTAGGGGTGTATATCTCAGGTTTTCTTTAGTAAGCTATTTTTCAACTCTGTGTGTGGAAAAGTTATATTAATACAAATTAATCTTGTGTATCCACGGAAGGAGGGTTGGGCAATCTACTTCCGTAGTGATATCACCTAGGAAACCCAATGAGGGGTATCTATGAGTGTCCACAGCAGTGAGTTTGGTTTGGTTTTTTGGTTTTATAGAAATGTAAATTAATTTGTCTACAACCAAACCTACTGCCATCGAGTTGGATCCGACTCATAAAGACCCCTCCTTGGGTTTCCGAGGTGGTATCACTGCGGAAGTAGATTGCCCAACCTTCCTTCTGAGGGGTGGCTAGTGATAAAAAATTTATTTTTCCATTGTAGAAAAGATGGCCCCAAACATTAATTTTCTTACCCTGTACGACATTAAATCGTTCCTCATATAATAGCAAATTCATTTTCTCATTTCTATCCTGCAGATTACTCTTTGAATTAGTTTTTATATCTTAATGGTTCCCTCATTAATTAATGAATTAAATCAAATCCTCAACACATATTTATTCTACATTTGTATGAGAGTCATGATGGTTTGTTTTTGAAATTATACTTGAATGTATTCTTTCCAAGATTTTACAATATTTAACTGTCTGAAATAAATCAAGCATCATTTTAGTGGTAGGAGTCATGCTTTCCCCAAGAATACTAAAATCAAGTTTTTGCATCTATTGATAATCTTCCCCCACACACCAAGACATGAAAATTGTCAAACTCTGGAGCTGTAGTTCATGTGACATATTCTTACAGTGACTGAGAAAACATTTTGCTTGTAAGTGTCCTCAAAACACTTCTTGTTAATAGAATATTCCAGCTAGTGAGATCTTATTTTTCTGTGACCAACTGTGATGGAAGTGACCAATTCTACTCCTGTTCAACACAGCCTGTATTCATATACTATGAAGAGATAGCTTTTCAATGAGACAAGGAAAATATACAGTATAGCTCTAACATCCAAGCTTCATATGATTATATGCTCACCTGCAAAATTTTCCTGTGAAATTCCCCAAGCAGAGGCAAGAATAGCCATTAGTGTCACTGATGCAGGTGGCTCCATTTGCACACTGGTGACTTTGGCAGTTGTCTACCTTCACTTCACAGTTCTCACCTGTATATCCAGGCTCACAACTACAGTGGTAGGGTGCAACTCTGTTGGAGCAGTTACCATGGATACAGGGGTTTGAAATGCATTCATCAATTTTGAGTTCACAGTGTGTCCCTGACCATCCCAAGGGGCAGGTGCAATGATAAGAACTGTAGATGTCTTCACAATTTCCACCATGTAAACAGGGGTTGGAGTTGCAGGCATTTAGCTCCAAGCAACCAATGAACACTGAATTTGTAGAGATTTTGAGAAACTGTTCTTCCTGAGGTTTATTTGGGGAACCAGGAACAATTTCAGAGTAAGAGAGATAAATACCACCAATTTCCATTGTACTTAGACACCCTTGCAAGCTGTTTATATTATCCAAAGTTCGGCCACCAACATAAATATCTGTATTAGCCTTCAAAAAGTTGAGGTTTCCGGTAGCAACTGCACTAGTCACAAATGGTGTTTGGTTGTCCATTTCCATTTGCCACTTGGAAGACTGAGCCAGTGGGTCTGTCATGGAAAGAGTCACTTGGTGCCATGTGCCATCATTTACCAGCTTCAAACTTATCAGACTCACTGTATAAAAACTGTTGCCACTTTGCAATTGAAATAATAATCTGGAGTCTTCAATACTAATATTAAGAAATTCAGGCTCTTTCTCTGCATGCAATATTACCATATTTGCATCTCTTGTTCTGAAACCAAATGTGATGTTGGTGAGTTCTCTGGTAATATTCCCATTACTCCTGAATAGTATTCCACTGCTTTGTCCATTAAAAACAACATTTGCAATACCTAAAGAGAGAAGGCAACACTAATCAGAAAATTTATTAGAATTGTAATATTGGCTTAATTCCCTTTATTAAGAGTAATGGTCATCATGCTAATGGTCGTCAGGTATAATTAGTTGTAATACAGAACCCTTGCATACAGGCATTACTGCTATTATTACTATCCCCAGTCTATAAAAGAAATCGAGACTCATAGAAGTTAAATAATTTGTTCATGGTTATGTGGCTAATTATATAATTATAATAAATTAAATATATAATTATAATAGAGAGCCAGAATACCAAACCTGGTTGATCTGATACCGAAACCCAAACTACACATTTTTTCCATTGAACTCTTAATGCAGAAGAATATTTACCTTGTGTATGCTCTCACAAATAAAACACTTTACACATAAAGAAATGGAGCACAAAAAGATCACAAATCTGGCTAGAATGACACAGCAAATTAGCAGTAGAGTCTGGCTACAGATTAATCTGACCAGTATGCAGTCAGAAGCAGGGATCCAAAATGGCTGATTTACTTACCTGGAAAAACCCCAATCATATGCCAATCTACCCACTCTCTGTGTACACTCCAGTAGCTGCATGTTTCTGGAGAAAAATATGCAACCATATCAATTGCCCTCACTTTAAATCTATAGCTCATATACTGTATGGGAGGAGCTCTGGTGGCAGAGTGCCTAAGGCGTTTCACTGCTAACCAGAAGGCTGGCGTTTCAAACCCACCAGCCACTCCTCAGAAGGAAGATTGGGCAATCTACTTCAGTAGAGATACCGCCTTGGAAACCCAAGGTGGGGTCGCTATGAGTCAGATCCGGCTCGACGGCAGTGAGGTTTTTTTTATTATTATTATTTAAAAAATATACTGTGTAAGGAGCCCTGGTAGCATAGTGCGTAAGGCACTTGACTGCTAACCAAAAGGCTGGCGGTTCAAACCCACCAGCCACTCCTCAGAAGGAAGGTTGAGCAACCTACTTCTGTAGTGATACTGCCTCAGAAACCCAAGGAGGGGTTGCTATGAGTCAGGTCTGACTTGACGGCACATAAAAACAACAACATGGGAGCTCCACACTTCTGGGCAATCATATTACATTTTTTGTTAAACCATTTTTTTTTTTTCCCCATTCTACAACATCATTAACTCACATCTTCTTTATGTCCTCAAAAATCTAACTCTATCTCAGCTGATGACCTTCTTCCACATTTCCTTAAGGAAATACAAGAAAGGAGAACAGTCTCAGCTTTGCACCAAATCTGTAAACCTAACAACAGCTGGGTCCACTCTGCCTTCCCTCCTGTTATAATGGATAAACTGTCCTTAATCCCACTGAAGGTCACACCTTCCACTCATGCAATGGGTCCCATTCTTTTTCCTCTTTTCTAGAATACTGTTCCTACATGCACTTTCTGTACCGCATCATCATTTTTCTCTTCTCTTTTTGTCGTTTTCATCAATATACAACTATTCTGTAATTATTCCCATCTTAGAAAATAAAAACACATGCAAGACCAAAAACATCAGCCTGACCCATGCCCCCTTCTGCGACTTTCCTATTTCTCTATTGTCTTTTCCAGAAAAATGTCCTCATCATTCCATTTTCCTTGTCAATTCCCATTCTCTCTTCAATATATGCCACTCAAATTTTATCCCCGTTGTTTTACTGAAATCAGTCTTGTCAGGATTCCAGTGTTACTGGAATGTGTTACTCAATCCAGTGGTCAAGTCTTTAAAGTAACATTTGACCTTAAAACCCTGTCTTTACCTCATTTGTGGTGAATTGTACCAAAGCTTCTTTGATATAGACTACTCTAATTATTTCTTGGGAGCTCTGGTAGCATAGTGCCTAAGGCACTTGACTGCTAACCAGAAGGCTGGTGGTTCCAACCCACCAGCCACTCCTCAGAAGGAAGATGGGGCAATCTACTTCCGTAGTGATACTGCCTTGGAAACCCAAGGAGGGGTCACTATGAGTCGGGTCCGACTCGACGGCATATAACAACAACAACAACAATTACTTCTTAGTGTCTTTGCTTCCATTGCTCTGCAGATCAATATGAAACTACTTCTGAGCTCAAAATTCCTATCAGTTACCATCACGTCTAGAACAAAATCCTAAATCCTAAACATGGCCTAGGAGAGAATATCTCATCTGAACACTGATTAGCTTTCCAGTTCCATTTCCTACCACTCTCTTCCTCATTCTATGCCATAGTCACAACAAATTCTTGCCATTCTTTGAAGAGACCAATTTGTTCTCAACTCAGTTCTTTTACTGCTGTGACTTATACCTGGAATATTCTTTTCCCAAATTGTCCTACATCTGGCTCTTTCTCTATATTATCTGCTCCAATGCTATCTCTTATGGGAAACATTCCTGACTGTTGTTGTTGTTGTGTGCTGTCGAATCGGACCCAACTCATAGAGACCCTTCCTTGGGTTTCCGAGGCAGTATCACTATGGAAGTAGATTGCCCCATCTTCCTTCTGAGGAGTGGCTGGTGGGTTTGAACCATCAGTCTTCTGGTTAGCAGTCAAGTGCCTTAGACACTATGCTACCAGAGCTCCCACATTCCTGACTATCCAACTTTAAATAGTTATATTCCTCCAACCTCTCTCTATCTCATTATTCTGCTTTATTTTCTTTTGCCTTTCAGTAAAAGTAAAATTTTGTTGGAGATAATTAAAAATGGTTGAAGCAATACCTCAACAGAAAACTACCAGAAATTCAGTCTGGATTCAGAAGAGGACATGGAACAAAGGATATCATCACTGATGTCAGATGGATCTTGGCTGAGAGCAAATAATACTAGAAAGATGTTTACCTGTGTTTTCTTGGCTATGCAAAGATATTCAACTGTGTGGATCATGACAATTTATGGATAACATGTGAAGAATGGGAATTCCAGAACACTTAATTGTGCTCATGAGAAACTTGTACAGAGACTGAGAGAAAGTCATTCAAACAGAACAAGGCAATACTGAGTGATTTGACATCAGGAAAGGTGTGTGTCAGGGTTGTATATTTCACCATACTGTTCAATCTGCATACTTAATAAATAATCTGAGAAGCTGGACTATATGAAGAAGAGTGTGGGATCAGGATTGGAGGAAGACTCATCAACAACCTGCAATATGCAGATGACACAACCTTGTTTAGTGAAAGCAAAGAAGACTTGAAGCACTTACTGAGGAAGATCAAAGAGTACAGCTTTCAATATGGATTACACCTCAACATAAAGAAAACAAAAATCCTCACAACTGGACCAATAAGTAACATCATGATAAATGAAAAAATATTAGTTGTCAAGAATTTAATTTCAGTGGGATTCATACTCAATGCTCCTGGAAAGAGTAGTCAGGAAATCAAGCGACATATTGCATTGGCAAAATGTTTTAAAGCATTAAAAATCAAAGACGTCACCTGGAGGACAAATGTAAGCCTGACCCAAGCCAGGGGCCATGATATTTTCATTTGCATCATAAGCATGTGAAAGCTGGACAGTGAATAAGGAATACTAATGAAGAACTGATGCTTTTGTTAGTGAAGGATATCAAATATATCATGGCCTGCCAGAAGAACCAATGAATCTGTCTTGAAAGAAGTACAGCCAGAATGCTCCTCAGGAGGGAGGATGGTGAGACTGTCTCACATACTTTAGACATGTTATCAGGAGGGATCAGTCTCTGGAGAAGGACATCATGCTTGGTAAAGTAGATGGTCAGCAAAAAAGAGGAAGACCCTCAGTGAGATAGACTGACACAGTGGCTTAAACACAACAATGATTGTGAGGATGATATGGGACTGGGCAGTGTTTCCTTCTGTAGTACCAAGTGTTCCTATGAGTTGGAACCAACTTAGTAGCACCTAACAGCAATAGCAGAACGTTGCCTGATATATAATAGGTTGGCAGTAAACATAGGCTAAAGGATGGTCTATAAAACGCCTTCATCTTTTATTTTGGAAAGTGAGATAATGTTTAGAAACCATAAATCAGAAAACCAAAGTCACTGCCATTGAGTCAAATACAACTCATAGCAACCCCTCCTTGGGTTTCTGAGGTGGTATCCAGAGAAGTAGATTGCCCAATCTTCCTTCCGAGGAGTGGCTGGTAGGTTTGAACCACCAGCCCTCTGGTTAGCAGTTAAATGCCTTAGGTACCATGCCACCTGAGCATGTGTGCCATTGAATTGGGTTAAATTTATTGTTTTTTATTATGATTTTTTTTTTCTACCTAGTTTTGGGCCAAAGGTTGGTAAGGGAAAGAGCAACAAGTGTCTCATCACGTATTTTTAAGTAATTGTTAAAATGACAAATCTAATTAGCTCTACAATGCCTAAAGCAAGAGCATATCTGTAATTCTATGTAAAATTGTTTTGCTAATGCTCTTGATAACACTGAAATCAATTCTTGCATCTGAGTATAAACCACAATACATATAACAAACTTCATGGTTTGCCTTTTGTTCAGGGAACTTTGCCAAAATAAACACACCTGTGACTAAGGTAGGTTGTAAATTTTTAAATTTTGGTTTTCTGATCGGTTATAGAGAAAGTGTTGATTAACATCCTAAAGGCAAACACAGGGTAATGCATGAACTGTACTCTTGAGAATATATTGTTCTAAGAGACCTAATCTACTCAATATATTTTACTTAAAATAATAATAATAATAATAATAATAATAACAGGGTTATAAGAGCATATAAAATTGAAATTACTCAAAGTAGCAAAAATGAATTTTAATATTCATACCTGTCAATTATGAAAATTTTACTCCTCTTATTGATTTAAATTTTATCTCTTCGTTAAGCTGTCATATTTTTTACAAAAATGTCACTGGGACCTTTTGGAGGGTCAGAGCCAAACTTTCTACTTTTTCTGAAACAGCAATGCAGTAATAGGATGAATATCACTCCTTTCTGATGTGCATGCATCCAAACCCTAAACTACTTTCTGAGTCACTGAAGAGCAGAGTGCAATAGTGACATTGTTTTTGGCCTGCCATTATTTTTAGAGATCCTATTCTTTGTTCCTCTTGAATACACTTCAAATGATTTAAACATCTTCATCGAATGCTGCTAGAATTAACAACTTATCATTTTCATCAAAAGACTAATGATTAATCAACTTTTTTTTGTTGTTAGTTGCCATCAAGTCAGTTCCAACTCACAGCAACCCCATATGTGCAGAGTAGAACTATTCCACAGGGCTTTCAAGACTGTGACTTTGGCTTCTGAGGTGGCTCCATATGGGATCAAACAGCTAAACTTTAGGCCAGTAGTGGAGTAGTGGAGCACTCAACTGTTTGCCCCACCCAAGGACATAATAAACTGTAAAAGTCATTTAAATAATAGTTTAAAGGTAGAATAATGAAAAAGTTTATATTTAAAATTCTGAGCCATATTAGACTATATTAGCCACTCCTCAGAAGGAAGGTTGGGCAATCTACTTTCATAGTGATACTGCCTCGGAAACTCAAGAAGGGTCGCTATGAGTCCGGTCTAACTGGACGGCATATAACAACAACAACATATTGTGTCAAGAAGGGAGTACGTCAGGGTTGTAGCCTTTCACCATACTTACTCAATCTGTATGCTGAGCAAATAATCCAACAAGCTGGACTACATGAAGAAGAACGTGGCATCAGGATTGGAGGAAGATTCATTAAAAACTTGTGATAAGCTGACAACACAACTTTGTTTGCTGAAAGTGAGGATGACTTGAAGCACTTACGGATGAAGATTGAAGACTACAGTCTGCCGTATGGATTACATCTCAATATAAAGAAAACAAAAATCCTCACAACTGGACCAATAAGCAGCGTCATGATAAATGGTGAAAAGACTGAAGTTGTCAAAGACTTCATATTACTTGGTTCTACAATCAACACCAATGGAAGCAACAGGCAACATATCTGTATCTGACAACGTATAGCATTGGGCAAATCTGTTGCAAAAGACTTCCTTCAAGTGCTAAAGAGCAAAGATATCTCCTTAAAGACTAAGTGCGCCTGACACAAGCCATGACATTTTTAATCACCTCATATGTATGTGAGAGGTAGACAATGAACTAGAAAGACTGAAGAAGAGTTGATGCTTTTGCATTGTGGTGTTGGGGAAGAATACTGAAAACAGCATGGATTTCCAGAAGAACAAACAAATCTATTCTGGAAGAAGTGCAGCCAGAATACTGCTTGGAAGCAAGAATGGCCAGACTTTGTCTCCCCTACTTTGGTCATGTTGTCAGAAGGGACCATCCCCTGGAGTAGGATCTCATGCTTGGTAGAGTGGAGGGTTAACAAAAAGAGGAAGGCCCATGACAAGATGGATTGACACAGTTGCTGCAGAGGTGGGTTCAGGTATAATAAGGATTGTGGGGCTGGCACAGGACCAGGCAATGATTCATTCTGCTATGCATAGGGTCACTATGAGTTGGAGACAATAGTCTCTGACTATGAGTTGTCAGACAACAACAACAACATATAGTTTATGCTAAGTCATCATACTTCATATACATGTATGTTTCTTAAATATGAAACAAGAGCAAATATATTCTTCTAGAAAACTTTCCCATGTGTACATAGAATATATTTCATATACCCTTTAAATATACATTAAAATATATAAACATAAACTATACTTTACAAAGTTATATATTCTCTTTTCTGCAGGTACTGGGGTTTATTATAAATAGGATTTTGTGCTAAGAAACTTAGTCTGTTCTCTGGTTCTAATACATTATATTAGTGTTTTCCAAGGTATTTTATGATACTTATTTATTGTTAATAGATAATCTAATTAGTTTCCATAGCAGTCAGGTGAAAATATTGAGTTAATTTGAAGAAATATAAGTTAATTTATTCATTTAGCAAGTGTTTATAGAAAAGCTATTATATGTTTGGCACCATTTTTATTGCTAAGAATAACAAAAGAAACAAACTAGAAAATTACCTTCTCTTAGAAAACGTATATTCTTGTGAGGAAAGATATAATGAACATGTATAATAAGGGAGCTCTGTTGGCATAGTGTCTAAGGCATTTGATTACTAACCAGAAGGCTGGCAGTTCAAACCCACCAGCCACTCCTCAGAAGGAGACTGGGCAATCTACTTCTGTAGAGATACCACCTCGAAACCCAAGGAGGGGTCGCTATGAATTGGATCCAACTCCACAGCAGTGAGTTTGGTTTTTTGGGTTTTTTAAATATATAATAAAATATTAAGGCATGATGAGAGATGTGAAGAAAAATAAGACCAGTTTAGAGGACACTGGGTAGAAACCTAAAGGGAGTCATGAAGGCAAACTGTGAAGCTCTGGGTTAGGACATTTCAAGATGGGGTGCCTGTGGGATGCTGGAGCCTGACCAACTGGGGTTAAAGAGAGAATAGAGTGAGATGGCATACACATATTGAGGACAATTTTTAGACAAGCTTCACCCTAAAAGGAAGCAGAGACATGGGTTGGCAGCTCAAGAGGATTGAAGAAGAGGGATTGAGGCAGGCATTTTTTTTTTTTTTAACAAGGAAATTTGACAGTATATCTATATATGCTTATGGGAAAACGGATAGCACTGATGAATGAGAAAAACCTTAGGAGCAAAATCTTTGAAAAAGGGAAAGCAATTAGAATTCAATGCAAGCATAAAGGGTTTACCGTAGATTGGACTCTGCATTATTTGAAGTAGAAGAGAAGACAGAGTATAAGTAATAGTGTAGGTACACAGTATAAGCACTTTTCACAGTAGTCAAAAATTGTGAACAGGATACTCAGATTGCTAACATTTGGGAAATTGTGTTCTGCTGTACCAAAAATGTACAGGAAAACATTCCAGACTGAGGGAAATAGTAGCATCAGGCCAGTTGCTGGCTAGTTGATTCTGACTCATAGTGACCCCATGTGTATCAGAGTAGAACTGTGCTTCATAGGGTTCTCAGTGGCTGATTTTTCAAAAGGTCTTTTTTTCAAAGCATCTCTGGGTTTGAACCACCAGTCTCTCAGTTAGCAACTGAGCATGTTTGCACCATCCAAGGACTACAGAAATAGTAATATCAAACATTTATTGAGTGTCTAATGAGTTTGACTCCTTACACATATGAACATATGATCACCACAAAGAAACCTACAGAGAAGACATTGTTGTCCTCATTTTATAGATGAGGATGCTTTAGATTATGGAAGTTAAGTGAATTGACTGAGCCTTGAGTTAATAAATGGCAGGGAACTAACATTAGCAAAATCACTCTGTAATGACAACAAGGAAAGGGGGAGAAGCCGATTATTACCTGATTGATATATATTCAGATATCAGCTCTCAATGATTAAGGATCTCAGTTTGGCTACAACTCCCATTTCCCACCCAGACATCCAGGAGCAAGATAAGGCAAGAGGCCTGTCTGGTTCACTTTACACTCATATTAGAGGAAACAGCCAGGATTTTCTTCAATAAACTGGTTGTCTGTATTCTTCTGTATTTCTTCCTGGAAAATGGAAATGCCCAACTAAACTGGACAGATAATAAGTTTAAACTCTACCTACATTCAAATCCTTGAGGCACTGCTTGGCACTGGGCTTTGGGAGGACATGGGCTGAGTTCACACCACTGAACTTCCTCACAGGCTTTCCCAGCTGTGTTGGGAGGGCAGGAACATGAGAAGGCTTCCCACATAGAGTAGCAAATACCTCTGTTGTGACAAGGGTTGGACTGAGAAGAGGAGAAATCAGAGGCACAAAAATTAGTGGTAACTATAAGGAAATGTGGAAGACAAGGTATTTTAAATGCCAATTCCCTTACATCTTTACATTTTATAAATGACTAAAAGAATAAAACTTACTGCTAATATTACCAACTAGTTTCTAACAGTGAGTGGGAGGGAGGGAAGGAGAGAGAGACACACAGAGACCATGTTTAAAATTGATGTCCTCCTACTACATAAGGAGGATTTTGAAAGGAATAAATAATAGTTTTCATCCTTTACAAATTACCAGGCATTTTTACATGCATTAATTATCATTTAAAATAGGTATTATTATTTCAGTTTCTACAGTTGAGGAAGCTGAGGCCCCTCTAGTTCCCAAGAATTTATAAAGTCAAATAATGAAGCTTAATATCTAGATCTTCAGTAACCCCTAAGTCCCACGCCCAAGGTGTTCTGCCTCTGAATCAGAGACACACTATTATTATTTGAGTTCTTACAAGGCTGCTTACAAAGTATTCAATCTAAAACTATTCACAAAGGAATTTTTGAAAGCCCAGACTGTGTGTATCTCTACTCCACTGTTTACTATGGGATTTACACAGTTACATAAAATTTCTAAACTTCAGTTCCTTTGTCTTTAAATAATGTAAATGGAGGATGATAATAATGCCTATTTCATACAGTAGTATTTTCATATAATTAAATGAATTAACTGATATAAAACAATGCTTGTTACATTAGAAATAAACCTATAATATAGTTACAATGCTTAATTTTGTAAATTTAGCAACAAGCATAGTGCATGGCAATAGTTGGAGCTCAATAAATGTTCCAAAGATATAAACGTGTTTTCCTTTGAAAGGCCATGCAGCACTTGCAGAGCTGCCAGATTCATATATTTAAGTGGGTTTTGGAAGAGAATGCTAAATACATAAAGTAAAACATGGGCTCTGGAAAATTGTCTTCCAGAGAATTACCAATCCAACTACCATGGGAAAGTTTTGTTTCAGATCATTTTTTTTCTGTTGGCTTAATAAGTAGCTCTTGTGCTGTAAGGCATTTGGCTGCTAACCAAAAGGTTGATAGTTGAAACCCACCAGCTGCTCTGCAGAAGAAAGGCAGGCAATCTGCTTCCATAAAAATTTACAGCCTTGGACACCCAATGAGAGTCACTATGAGTCGGAATTGACTCGATAGCAGTGAGTTTCATTTGGTTTCACTGACTTAATAGAAGCAAAAACTGTAGCTGAACATTTAAGATAAAGTTAATGGACTACGATGCCAATAAAGACAAGGCCATGTTTTTATTGTTGTTATCCGCTGCAGTAGAGTCAGCCTTTGACTCATGGAGTCCCCATGTAAGGGAATGAAACACTGCCCAGTCCTGTGCCATCCTTGTGATTGTGGATTGGACTGCTATGACCTGCGGGGTTTTCAATGGCTGACTTTCAGATGTAGATTGTTAGGCCTTTCTTACCAGTGTGTCTTAGTCTGGAACCTCTACTGAAACCTGTTCAGAGTCATAGCAACATTAAAGCCTCCATTGACAGACAGGTGCATTGGCTGGGAATGGAACCTGGGACTCCACGTGGAAGGGGAGAATTCTGCCATTGAACTACCAATGTCTCCATGATTTTATGGCGCAATATAAATCTTTCAGTAAAAATGGAAAACATGATCAAGTGTTATACCATTGCTGATGGGTTACACGAAGAATAGTTGTAATAAGTAGGCACCGTTAAAGTAAAAAATTTAGCATTCAGTATGGAAATAGTTCATATGAATGATCCTACCTTGCACATATCTTCTCCGGGACAGCCTCTGGTTACATTGACAAGAATTGAATTGTTAGTTGCATTGCTGGTTGAATTTGGGAAGAATTCCAGATTTTGCTTGTTTATTCTTAAATCTTGGATACAACCTTTGAAGAACCCACCATTAACTTCAGTCTTTTGTCTGTCAGGCAGGCCGCCAATGTATATGATATCTCCTCTTTGGATGTTCCATGTAGAAGAAGAAATATATCCTAAGTGTTGTGAAGACTGATATAGTTCAATTTTATTTGGCTCGAATTTCAAAGATATCAAATGGATATTTCCATCACTAAGAAAAAATCTTAATACTAATTTGGGAGAACTTGGAGTCAGCATTGCTGGTCTGCCATGCTCTAGCCAGATGCGGATATATTGAAAGGTGCTGTTTTCCAAAGCTAGAAGTAAGCCTGACGGTTGACGTGTTTGAACAAACATGGAGAGAGTGAAGTTCTCTCCATAACTCTGGTCAAGTTTAAAAGCAGCAAATCCAGTGGAGTCAGCATGGCCAAATCTGCCTGCCACATATTCTAGAATATTAAAATAGAGGAGAAACAAAGAAGAAAAACCTTAGTCTCATAAGTAAGAAGGAGAAGAAGATGAAAATGACATATATGCTTTTGTGAGTTCAGAAAAAGCTTATTCAGTAGGACGTGAATTTGGCCTTTTGAACTTCTGAGTTTCATCCTGAAAATCACTACATTTTTATTGATGTGCCAGAGTAGAAAGAAACTTGTATGCTTATATCATGTCTTTATTCTATTTAGTATTATTTCTGAACTTATGGAGGCATTTCTGCATTTTAGTTTTGCATTTTGGGTTACAAGGGGTTAATAGTTGAGGTCCACTTATTACAAAAGAGGCAAAGAAGATCTCTACATAGATGAACTTAAGAACTTCTCCTTCACCTCCCTAAAGAGCTAGGGCTATTTAGGGAATATCAGACCCTACTGTCTTGGAGTAGGTAGAGTAAATTTGAGAGACGAAAGCTCTTCCTGCAACATCCACAAGGACACTATTAAGACAGTTGTCATCCTTACTATTTGGAGGCATAATGAAGCAAACATATAATCAAACCTAATTTCACTTTGTGAAGAAGAGAAATCAAGAATTGGATTAGCGAATCCTCTTTTGACATGACTACTCCAAATAATGATAAGAGGCAAAGTTAAGTTTGGCAAAGGAAGAGGAAGAGTCACTCAATTTGTGGCTCTTGTTGGAGGAAAGACAGGCATAGGAGGCAGAGAAGTACACTGGGAAAAGTTAAGTATTAAACCCCTTCGGTGCTTTCTGTGGTCAGAGGTGGTAGTAATGCACTAATGTTGCAATACTATCAATGTGCATCATGTCCCAAAAATTCTTCAGATGAAATAAAATGATTCTCGACTATAAGAGCATTAGCAATGTAGTATGAACAAACAAACAAAAATCCCTGGCCTCATAAAGCTTATATTTGAATTGGTGGACAAGAAAGAGATAAAGAAGCAGACTGTGTAACTTGCCAGATGGTGATAAGTCCTTTGGCACAAAATAAAGCAGACAGAGAAAGGGAATAGGGAGAGTAGGAAGTTGGTGTGTGTGGGGGGGATTTGTCAGTTTAAATAGGGTAGAATGTGAGGGACTGGCAGAGAGGTGACATTTAACCAAAGATCTTTTTTTTTAAAAAAATAGGAATATTATGGCAATAATTCAGGAGAGAGATGATGAGTGACTTGAAACAGTGGGAGTAGTAGAGGTGGTGAGAAGTGGTCAGAATTTGATAATATTTTGAAGGGAGAATCAACAGAATTTTCTGGGCAAGTTTATCTTCAAGATTTTTGGCTTAAGCAACTAGAAGCAGAATTTCCATTTGCAGAGACGGGAAAGAAAAAAAAAGGAGGAACAGATAGGGGCCGGGGAACCAGGAGTACATGTCACATTTGAGGTGCCGATTAGCTATATCCTGGAGGTCCTGGGTAGCACACGCAGTTTGTAATCAGCTGCAACCCTCAATGTTGGCAGTTCAAATGCTTCCAATAGCACCATGAAAGAAAGGCCTGTGATCTGCTTCTGTAAAGATTACAGCCAAGAAAACCCTGTGGAACATTTCTACTCTGGAACTCATAGGGTCGCCGTGAGTTGCAATCAACTTGACAGAACTTATTCCCCCCCTAAATTTAGAGGTCCTGATGAAAGTGGGCAAGTAGCTATAGAGGCTTAGGGGAGATATGAGCTTGAATAATGTTTTGGATTTATCTGTTATAGCCAAAAGACTGCATAAAATCAACCAGAAATTGACTATAGAGAGAGAAATGAAGAGGTCCAAGAACTGAGCCCATAGCCACTAGGCATTTGGAAGTAAAAAAGGTGTAGAAAGGGCAGCCAGTGAGGACTGTCAAATGACAGTCTAGAGGTCATCAGTGAACTGGACAAGAGTATGGTTTAAAGATATTGCTAGTTTCAAGTTTTTACATCCCAATCTGAATAAACAAAACAAAAACCCCAACGTATTTGGGCATGTTTAATGTTGAAGTTTGGGCAAAGGTAAGACATATTTTGGTTCAGATGAACTATAGTGAGACTTGCTTAGGCAGTCATCTGTGTTCTAAGATCTCCTGCATAAAAGGCTACATTTTCAGAACTCTGACTTGATTTCCTACAGGAATATTGTATTTTGAATCTGCATTTGGAGACCACCTGCTCCAGGCAACTACAGGTAGCTTTCAAAGTGTACTGTTGGATAAAATAACCCCTTTGAAAAGGTTAAAATCTCTGAATACATAGCAACACTTTCATAGGAGATAAAATACTTAATAAGAAAATTTTGCTATTGAAGCTTCTGAGGTTTGGGTATACGACTGAATCACTCAGCCTCAGAGGTGGTGGAGTCCCTGCTGGTCATCCTAGGATGCCTGTAGCATTACTTTGTGGATCCAGATTAAAAGGCAGACAGGACATAAAAATTGTTTTATTTTCCTCAGAAGCTTGACTCTCCAGAAAACTTATTCTTCTTCAAAAATCACAAGCAAGCAGTCAGAGTATGTAATGTTAAAAGACCTGAAGCCACACATGACTTGGCTGTAGACATGTTGTTGTTGTTGTTATGTGCCGTCAAATAGGCCCCGACTCATAGCAACCCCTCCTTGGGTTTCCGAGGCAGTATCACTATGGAAGTAGGATTGCCCAACCTTCCTTCCGAGGAGTGGCTGGTAGGTTTGAACCGCCAGCCTTCTGGTTAGCAGTCAAGTGCCTCAGGCACACATGGAACAGATGATTGTTATATTTGTTATTGACATGTCATGAAGAGGGATAACACATACAAATGAAAAATAACTTCAAGTTTTAATAATTGATGGAATACAAGATGAAATTTTATAAGAAGAAATGAAAGTCACTTAGGTTTATATTTCTTCATTGGTTTGGCAGGGAGCGATAACATTCTGTGGCATAAGTGAGAATGAGTCAAAGTGAGTCAATCTTCTTCTTCTATACCTAAAACACTGTAATTCTAAGGGTACAAGGATAATACATTCTAGGTGTATGGCTGAAGATAAACAATATAAATTGCTTCTGCTAATCAAACATTCTCCAAAAGGAGAATGCAGTTATTATGAACAGAATTGTGGAAGCTCCATGTTCTTATACACAGTCAACATAGTAAGATATGCTAAGATAAACTTGCAGAAAATTCTTGGAACTAAGCATTGTGAAATGCTTCACAGAGCTCTTCTTTTTGAGAGATATGATGATTTCAAAAAGATCTTTAAGTCATCAGGTGTCCCTAGCTCTTTCACTCAGTCAGCCAACTAAATCCTCTATCCAGTCTGCTTGCCCATTGCAAGGTGTTACCGTGCTTGGGAAACACTGAGTCAAAAGCATGAACTGGGTAAAGTTTGTCTTTGGAACTTTTGAGTACATTTTTTCCGTTCTGTATGTGTAGCATCTAAAATAACAGAAATACTCTGTGTTCTCATTAAGGCTTACCATTATCTTTTGCAATGAATATAAACTTCCCAGTAAATCCTTCATAGACGGTAGCAAATATAGAACATTTTAATTTTATGACCAAGAAGTGAAATGAAAAATGTAATTTTCTTTAAAGTTATACCAAGAATTTTCAGGAAGAAAAGATTGAGAAGAAATAAAGTAATCATTTGAAGACAATCATTTTTCAGGAGGCTTAAAGAGTTTCAAATACTGTGGGGAATAAAGAAACAGAAGCGGGGGAAGGGTGAACATTCAGGAACTTACTTTAAAAAGTTCATGATTTTCCAAAGAAAACCAGAACCCACTGGACTGGCATCCCTTGAATCTATTTACTAGGACAGTTAGCACCACCATCGTCAGTGTTAACCTCATGGGTCACTGCATCTGGAAGCCAGTCAAAGCAGGTTAGCATCTGTTTGTTATTTTGTATATGTAGTAAAAATATTGCCTTGGGTCAATTAATTTTTTCTTCAAAACTGAACATTGCCTCAGCATAATTTCCCCTCTTCTCCTTTTAAAAAAATCATGAAACAACTTGGCATTCCATTTAAAATATTGCATAGACCTAGTTGATGCCATATTTCATTGTCAAACAGGTCCATGATTTGTAATGAATATTGTGGTCAGGGGGGAACCCATGAATAGTTTCTAATACTCCTTAGCAATTCATACACGGGAATAAAGGTTTAGACTAAGACTGGTTTTAATTTTACTTCGTATAAAGCAGAGAAGACTATTTACCAGATGTTGTCCTACTTCAAGTTGCTCTAAAATCTTGGGGTAAATTACAGCTGAACTTCAAAGCAGTCTGTTGTAATCACCACTCAGACTTTGTCAATACATGACAATAATAAAAAGAAACAGGTACATATTGATCACTATCAACAGCAATCTCTGGAATGATGTTGGAAGTTAAGGATTTTAAAATAGATTTCAAGCGATGGTTTGCTAGAGAAATTAGATCAATTACTTTATGGCATCTACCAAGTCTCACCGTTGTACTTTCTGTGTTTTTTTTTTTTTTTTTTTTCTCTCTCTCTTTCCTTCCTTTCAAAGGTACCTACCTAGGATATGTTTTTGCATTACAACCCTGCAAAAATATACCTTTGAATAAAGCTGATGGTTTAAAGTACTTAACTTAGAATTTTGGAGCAAGTGAGAATTGCATAGAAAGGAAAGCAAGGAAATTATTATTTACCGAGAACTTAATGTGCCTAAGACATTGTGTTTGGACTTGGTATTGACTAGTTTCATGTCTAAAGTCTTTTTCTCCAAAAGATTATTTAATTTTCAAACATTTACAATAAATCTCTGATGTCCAGCAAATGGTAAAATTGTAATAGCATTTTATAAACTCCAGGATGGAAACTTGTTTGCATAGGCACTATCAACTTATTTTTATACTTCTCTGCAGGATTGAAACCCTGATGTCTCACAGACCCATTTGAAATTAATTAATGCATATTGCTATCCTATTCTTTTATGTCATCAGTGGGAAACCAGCAGCAGAGGTCCTGAGGGATCATTATGTCATTAGGTTTCACAGACTGGCTGTTTCTGTGGTTGCTCCTCTGCTCTGAGCCAAAGCATTCACAGGCACCCAGCCTTCTCTCACCTCTCAGACAGTTCAGGCCTGTGTAGGGTCGGTGGCAATCACACTGGTAACCAAGCCACAGGTTGATGCAGTGTCCTTTGTTGTGACAAGGTTGGCTTTCACACCAATCTTTTCTCACACAACCTGCTTTGACATTCAATGACGAGCTGGATGAAATGTTCTCTGAAGTGATAGGATTTAAATTGATCTTAATATCTTGGAGACAGCCTACAAATGAAGGTGTGGATGGTATATGATAGGTGTTAAGCAGAACGTCACCATTGCTGGTCTTTACTATTGGTATACCACCCACAAAGAAATTTTGAAAAGTGCATATTGGTTGATCCCTTTCAAATGGAGAAGGAGCTTTAGTGATGCATTTCTCTGTGCAAGAATTGTCAAGTAAGGTAAGGGTGACAATCTCTGCAAATGTTACCTCCACTGAATGCCACTCTCCATCACTGGTGTTGTGGGAAATATGCAGAAGCATCTTTGACTGATTATTGAGTTGAACTGATAAGTGAATGTGACCATTTACCAACTCAAGCTTCATAAATGTGTCCCTGTTGCCTCGGAAAAGTAGAAGTGCCATTACCTGAACAGTTTGAAACCTAAGGGCCATACTACAAACTGAGCCTTTGGTTGTTACTGAGTCACCTGTGATCCACAGGAAGCCATTGTCCTCAAAAGAAAGTGTAGTGCCAATTTCACATAGTGATCCAGTGTAGCCAGGTGGACAGAGGCAGCTGAATCCATGTTGGCCATTTTGAAAGTGAGGTGTGCATATTCCGTTATTTAGGCATTGGTGATGGGTACAGCCCAGAAGAATATCAGAACAGTCCTCTCCTCCAAAAAATGTTCCAGAATGATAATCAAATGGGCAATGGCAAGTATAATTGCCAGGCAAATTTTCACAAGTACCACCATTTTGGCAAGGAATTGAAGAGCATTCATTGATATCCTCTTCACAGTGGATTCCTGTAATGTAATAAAGAATAGGCTGGAATTACATATATTCAGATCAAAAATAGAGGTTTTACATAATTTTCAAGTGTGACTTTGTAGAAGTGCAGACATAGATTATGTTTAGGGCTGTCATTACAATGACATGTAAATAGTCATTGAGGAAAGCTAAAATAGATGATATCATCTTGCAAGTGTGTTTTGAGAAGGATGTAGTCATGGCAGATCTTGAATTTTTCCTTTAGAAGTAGATACTTTGTCAAAAAGAGTGGTTGACCCAGGTTAGCTATCATGTCAGATACACATGAAACATTGATTTCATAAAAATGAATAAGGACATAGATTGCTCTTGGTGGTAATGTTAAACCAAAAAAAAGAAAAAAAGAACCAAACTCACTGCCGTCGCATCAGATCCAACTCATAGCAACACTTTCTTGGGTTTCTGAGGCAATATCACTACAGAAGTAGATTGCCCAAACCTTCCTTCCAAGGAGTGGCTGGTACGTTTGAACCATCAGCCTTCTGGTTAGCAGTCAAATGCCTTAGGCACTATGCCACCAGGTATAAATTATTATTTGGAGAATCCTTTCTCAAATATTATTTATCTTGTTCTAGGCTGTTAATTTCACTCTATTCTACTGGGAAATAGTGATTTTTCTCTGGTAGCATAGTGCCTAAGGCACTTGACTGCTCACCAGAAGGCTGGCGGTTCAAACCCACCAGCCACTCCTCGGAAGAAAGGTTGGGCAATCCTACTTCCGTAGAGATACTGCCTCGGAAACCCAAGGAGGGGTCGCTATGAGTCAGGGCTGACTCGGCGGCATATAACAACAACAACAACAATCTTATTTGTAGCTTCCTATAATCCTTAAAATCAGAGTCTGTCAGATGTATAAACAGACTGCCATGGAGGTTCCATTTCCTCAGTCCCATGAACTGCGAACTAACTGTATTCCATAAAAAATTCCTGCTTATATTTTTTATTTCACATTGTTGTGGTTACCTAGTGCTGCTCTGACAAGAATATACCACAAATGGGAGGTCTTGAACAAACAGGAGTCTATTCTCTCACAGTTTGGGAGGCTAGAAGTCTGAATTCAAAGTGCTAGGTTCTAGGGGCTATGTGAAAGCCCCTCGACCTAGGGCTTGAGCTCTGCCTCTTGCTCCCATCCCATTGAAGCTAGAGGCATCTCTTCACTCAGGCAGCTACTGACTGCTGAGGCTAACAAGTCCAAGGTCAACAAATAAAATGGCACAGTCCCGATGTTACCAAACCACATGGCAGGCCATTGATTCAAGACCACTGAGAGTCCCAAGATCAGCAGAGCATGGCAGGCTGCTGAACAACAACTTGGCTATACACAGGGTTCAAGCGTGCCATAAGCAAGAGACCATTCCTAAAGATGTTTCTTATATACAGGAAGCAGACCATATCCCTAAAGCAGCTACTCAGCTGCTTGTGGTAGGTCCCACCATGGAGCTGATTGCCAGTCTCATCACGGGGAATAACTACCACCAGCTGCCCAGTCACTCATCCAGGCCCAGCCAAGTTGACAGACAAATTTAACCACCACACACATATTTTTGGATTATTCTTTTCCTGATTTCAAGTAAAAGAAAGATCTAATTACAGAATTATAACAAGTCATTTAACCAAAGCCATAAGAAGAAATATAACACTTTTTAAAGAGTGATAATTATTCTATTCCAATGAAGTTCATTCAAATGAACAGTGATAACAAAAATTTACATATTAGCACTTTGTGATTTTACCAACAACTTCATCTACATCATTTATTTACGCTCATCACATCTACTGAGATTTTTAAGATAGCTAATCTTAGACCTATTTTACAGAAGAAATTAAGGCTTAAAAATATTGACCTTTAAAATAGAAAGCATTTATACAGTCTGATCCTAAAATAACACTCTCGCCTCCCTCTCCATTAATGTAATCTATGCTCTAATCCCGACTTGACGGCACATAACAACAACAACAACAATGTTCTAATCACAAGTTTGTACCTAGTTTCCAATGCATTAAGTTCTCTCGTGCCTCTATGCCTTTGTCTAGATGAAATGGTAAGAAAACAAACAACCCAGACTATTGTAGCAAAATTACATATTTATTATTAATATACAGAAAGTTCCATAGACTTCAAGACTATATTCAAAAGATTATCTTTTGCCAAACAGGACAAAAACGAAAACCAACTTTTGCAACAAAATGAGGAAAGTATAAAACTTTTCTAGCAGCCTCAGTACAGAAAATCAATCGATCTCTGACCCAGTAGACAGAAAGTTACAGCGAAGCACAAGTAGAGAGAGATCAAATCCAATGAAAAGCATCTAGAAGAGTGAGTTGGATGTAGACAATATCCTTAGAAATACAGCTTTTCTATTATGTTTATTTAAATTTTCATTTTAGGCAAATACAGACTGACAAACTAAAGATAAAGAAGCTAAACAAAGATCCTGCTATAAGAAAACAACAATTCTAGCACAGATCAGGAAGGAATAATAATGAGAGGTGCACAGAAGGTCAACAATAAATGGATGATGAAAGCAGAATAAAGAAACAGACCCAATCAAAACAAACATAATCCCTTTAACTCATACTGGAGTAAAGGTTTTATTAACTTCTTGGTGGGGAGGGGCTGTCATAAACTGTGCTTGTTAGACACACTACTGCAGTCTCATTTTATACAGGGATTAGGGTTTGAAATTAATTCATAAATCTAAAATAGTATATAGTTCAATTTACCCTTGAAAATTCCTTAAGAAGCCGTTACTTTGGGGGCTGATATAGCATCTCTCAGTATGAAAGACTAATAAATCTGTGGTGTAGTGAATTACTTAACATGACCCTTTAGTCATAGTCCTCCATTTTGTGATGTATTATAAATTCTAGCTGTATGCCTTTGGTTATGGTCCCATGTTCCAGTGAGTAGTCCATTATGTTAATGAGGAAGGATTAGGGTGGGATGTATCTTGAGTCACCTTCTTACTAGAGGATGTGACTCAAGTCACCACCCTTAGCTTCGTTGAGGGGATGGTCTGCATCCAACATATAGGAATGTTCTTGGAGTCTCCCTTGCTCCAGATCCTGCATCTGGTCTGTCACCAACTGACCTCTAGTTCTTGGGACCGGCATCAGCAGCCTATCATCTGACCTGATTCATTAGCTTCCACAGGAGGCTATCGTTCGAACAGAACAAGGGGTTACTGCATAGTTTAAAGTCAGGAAAAGTGTGAGTCAGGGTTGTATCCTTTCACCATACTAATTCAGTCTGTATGCTGAGCAAATAATCCAAGAAGCTGGACTATATGAAGAAGAATGCCTCATCAGGACTGAAGGAAGACTCATGAACAACCTGCGATATGCAGATGACAGTCTTGCTTGCTGAAAGTGAAGAGGACTTGAAGCACTTACCGGTGAAGATCAACCCTAAATTTGAGGGACAGAGTAGAACTCAAAGCACAGAAGCAAGTCTCTCCAAAGAAATCCCTTAACAGACCTATTCCTTCAAATTTCTTCTCAAGAATTTACATACACTCTTGAAGGGAATAAGCATTTTAAAATTCCAGAAGCATGTTATCCATATTTATTTTTATGTACTACATTTTAGTCTCTCTCATAATTCATTTTGTTACTTGACAGCATCCATACCTTTGCCCCTGACTTGAAACTTCAATTTGTCATTCTCTCAAATTTACAAAATATCTACTCTCTACTCTACCATCATGGAGGATTGTGAGAGATGAAAAGAAGAAGACACACAATATAAAGGAATGACAAAATGCATATCTAAGAAAACATATTGTGTATAGCAGGTTTCTAATGAGTGTATGGATAATATATGAGAAACAAACTCAGAGAACATTAGAGAAAATTTAGCAAAGGTTTAGGGAAAGGAATTGAATGAGAGATAATCATAAATTTTTAGATGTAAAACCTCAACATTACAAATTAAATCAAATTGATTAATATTTTCCATATGCAAAATATTGTGGAGTAATAACTAGCCCTGCCCTCAACAAATTTGATGAAGTCAGACATAAATTTGTAAAAAATCAAATGACAGGGTAAGTCAAGACCATGCAGAAGAGATATCACTAGACAGCAAATGATTGAATCCATGTGAATTGTGTAGACAGTTGGTGCTGCACAACCTCTGGAGAGATCACTCTCTCCAGGCCGGGCTGGACTGGGAATATTTTATAAAAATAGGATTTAATATAGATTTTTGAGTATACATCAGATTGGTAAACAGATCAGTGTATGTGGAAATGACTAAATAATAATAACAAATTCATTGGTGGAAAAGCAGAATGCACTTAGAGGTGACAGTTAGTTTGGCCATCTGGTTGGCATGGAGGATTTATGTAGAGAAATCAAATCAGAAAAGTTAGATGTAGCCAGATTGCAGATGGTCGAGTATTTTAAAATTTTGTTTTGTTTTTGAAGGCAGTGAGGAAAAAGGGACAATTCTTAGATAGAAGACCAGTATGGTTTCAATCCCATGGAAATATGTAACCCAGAGTGAAATGAGGAGAAACTAGTGCTAGGAAGACTGGTTAGAGAGAGATATTAAGATTGTCCGTCCACATGTAAGATTACTAAAGTCTGAAATAGGACCATTTATTTCCACACCATTTACTGAATCTTTCATATATCCTCGGACAGCAAATAAGTGCAAATGGTAGACTTCACTGTTGTTCACGGCATATTTTCTTATAATTCCTAAAATTTATGCATTTGATCTTTCCTAAAATGAATACCAATAACTTGGATATTGTTTTGGTTACCTAGTGCCACTCTGACAGAAATATACCACAAATGGGTGGCTTTAACAAACAGGGGTTTATTCTCTTACAGTTTGGAGGTCTGAGTTCAAAGTGTCAACCTTTAGGGGCTGGGTGAAAGCCCCTTGACCTTGGGCTTCAGCTTTGTCTCTTGCTCTCAGCCCAGTGAAGCTAGAGGCTTTCTTGACTCAGGCAGCTGCTGGCTGTTA